AATTCTTACATGAAAACGTCACGCCGTATGCCTGGTGGGGTCTGCGAGACCCGAGCGCACTTTAGACACGTCCTTTCACTACTGGAGCACGCCCCGGACTGAGGTAGCGGGCGGAGGGCGTCAATTAGTTCACTACGGTCAGCTACTGAGAGCAGTTGCGAGCGAATTTTAAATTACAATGAATTATAACGGTTTAACGGCTGCGGTGGGTCTCACAGACCCAACCAGGCATGCCGAGGGTTAATTGTTCTCCCTTTCGTTCTTAACTCTTTATTTATTCATCCTTTTCATACCTTCCAAATTCTAAAACAACACTTCATCTAGTGTTTCAAATTATCTGGATTATATTTAGACCTACATTTAACACTTCACTTACATTCATCACTTTAATATTTTTATTCTAGAACAAAACTTCATCTAGTTTTTCAACTTATCTAGATTATATTTAGACCTACATTTAACACTTCACTTACATTCATCACTCTAATATTTTTATTCTAGGTAACTTAAAGAGGTATAACTTTTCAATTAAATTTTTATTTCTTAAACTTAACTTTGAACTTTACACTTTATATAAAATTGTTTTTCAAAGCTGAAGCGAGACGATTCATAACTTTTCTAAGCATTTACTAACTGTTAATTTGTATATATGTATAAATATCTAAACATTTATTAACTGTTAATTTGTATATATGTATAAATATCACCATCATTCTCACCTTATTATTTTTATTTCTTTTAATTTGTTTGTTTGTTTGATGATCCAGTGTTCTTCAACACATCTTGCTTTAGGACCTCGAACTTTCGTTGGTTAATCTTCACTTTTTATTTCAGACACATCTTGCTAGTGATGTTGCTGATCTCTGGCTTTGAGCCCTACCGCTGTGGCCGTTCTTAATCTTTACTTAAGTCATAGCGACCAAAGCTTGCTTAAGATTGATTTCTTTATCTTTATCTTCACTTGGGAGCGGCTGACCACTCCCTTAATAATTTTTTTTTATCTTCACGCAGGAGCGGATGACAACTCCTTAAATAAGCCTGAATGTCCTTTCGAAAACACACTTTTAAGAGTGGTGTTTCTTCGACTAATTTATTTTTTTTTCCACGCAGGAGCGGATGACTACTCCTTAAATAAGCCTTAATGTCGTTTCGAAAACACACTTTTAGAGTGGTAGTCATTGAATGTGAACTCCACCCTTACCTGAATGGCAGATGATGAATGTAAGAGATAGTATATCTGATTTTGCCTGGTGATGTCTGTTTCTGCAAAGCTGTGTTTTTATGGTTTATTTTAGAATGTATATATCAAAATTTTTGCTGAGTCAAAAATTTTCCAGGGTCGGGGGGAAAATGTAGTGTTATGCTACTTACATATCATTTTACATTATTTTAAATTCATTTTTCCATTCTGTTTCGATTTTCTGCATTCACCTCAAAACTGGATATTTTACATCACCTTTATTTCCATAGGATCCTGTAACGATTTTAAACCATAAAAACACAATAACAAATCATTTCTACTTCGTATTTTCACATTATCAGCACTTTTAAATTGGTGTCAATGGAGTCTACCTTTTTTCGATCTTTTAGCTAGTTTTCCGTAACTCTACAATCTTGGGCTTTGTGTGGGCAGCTGCGCTACCTTTTTTCCTATATCAATAATATCTCATTTTCCACTTAAATCTTACCGTTTTCTTATTATAAACCTAAAACCAAAATTTGACATGTTTTGTCATTGTTATTTATTTCGTTTCCATAGTAATTATATTCAAATTTGCTACCGATCTGTTGTTCCTATTTCGATAATTCCACATAAATACTCTTTTCTCTTGACCATTTACAAAAAAATTCGCGTTTAATTTAAATAATTTTTCCGTTCTCTCTAGAAAGGTATAAAAGCCGAACAATCGGTGAAGAAAGGCAGTCTCGCTTCAGTTCGCGAATTGGAAGTATCTCCTAAAGGCCTTATCCCGGGGCCGCACTGCCCCGGGATCCTGCAAGCCTCCACCTACACGTGAAGTCTTCGGCGAAGCCTTCTTCAAACGCGGAGCCGCACCACTCCGGATTCCTACAAGCCTCCATCTACCTCGAAAGTCGCTTCGAGTCTACTACAAGCGCGGGGGCCACACTACTCCGGGCGCTACGACTGCTTACTCCAGGCGCTGAGAGCACCTACCGCCGGCGCTACCTTTGGGCGCTGCAACTGCTTACTCCAGGCGCCGAGAGCACCTACCGCCGGCGCTACCTTTGGGCGCTGCAACTGCTGGCTCTAAGCGTTGAGCGCACCTACTCCAGGCGCTACGTGCGCCGGCTCCGGACGCTGCGTGTGCTGGCTCCAGGCGTTGCGTGCCGTCGCTGCTAAGAAACTTACCTCTACAAGCGCAACCGGCGTGTGCTGGCTTCAGGCGCTGCGTGTCGTCGCTGCTAAGAAACCTACCTCTACAATCGCAACGTGTGTCGCTTCGACTTTTAGGCCCCACTACATCTCTTTATTCCCCTATTCTCCTACCTTTATATTTTTTTTTGTAATCTAATTGTACTCTCACTTCATTCATCATCATCCTCATTTCATTTTTTTTATAAAATTGTAAATATCTTTAAATTTTGAATATATTTTTGTTTTTGTTGTATTTTGGTTGTTTTGTTGTTCTTAGGTTAGATTTATTATTGTCGCTTCACGACAGAAAGGTGTAAAAACGAATGCAGTTGTGTATCAAAATACATTCCTCACGAACCTTGTGGAACTTGTTTCTCATACCATGTTCTCATGAAGTTACAATGTCATTATTTTTTTAGTGTCACCCTTTTTGTTACCGAAACTGAAATATTTAGTCTGGTGACGTATTCACAATGTCATTATTTTTTTAATGTCACTCTTCTTGTTAGCCAAACCAAGGATTTTGATTTAATTATAAAGCAATTATTGCCATTATGCACTTAGTGTCGCTTTCCTCTTTAATAAAATATAATGTTCGATATACTGATGAGGTAACATTGACACTTTTTATATAGTGTCATTATTCTTATTTAATAAAATATAATAATGGGTTTTGTGATAAAGTTGTAAAAACCTTACATGTATAGTGTCTATTTTTATTATTGTTTCAGTTCCCTTTTCAAAGTACAAAAGACATTTTCTTCTTTAGTGTGGAAAGGTATTGTAATAACTACGAGTTCAATTATATTTTTGTTGTTTATTGACGCTATTCATTAGAGAATTCATAACAATTGTATTAAAGATCGATTTGAAGAGATTCGAAGATTCGAAAGAATCGTGCAACGACTACTAACTTGATAGCGCACGTAGACTATGTCTGTGCTGAGATGGATTCTAGGAGACAGGTAGACGACGCCTATTTCGATTTTAGGAAGGCTTTTGATCTGGTGAGTAATGACATACTGTTACATAAGCTAGCTAAGTTGGGCTTTACTCCGAAACTTCTTCAACTCTTTGCTAGCTATTTGGATAATCGTCGTCAATTTGTTAGAGTGAGTGGTTTCGAATCCGCTGATTATTTCACTAGATCTGGCGTGAGTCAGGGTAGTACTCTTGGCCCTACGCTGTTTTTAATTTTTATAAATGACTTGCCTACCAAAGTAAAATTTGCGAAGTGTTTGTTATTCGCAGATGATCTAAAATTAAGTTTGGCGATTGGTAGTGTTGCTGATGCACAGGCTCTTCAACGAGACATAGATGCGGTATCGAAATGGAGTCAACTGAACCATCTTCCTCTTAATGTGACTAAATGCAAGGTTATCACTTTTGCATTAAAACAGAATCCTGTCATTATTAATTATAACTTATACGACGCGCCTTTGGTAAGAGTATATGACATACGTGACTTAGGTTTAATATTAGATAGTAAATTGAGTTTTCACAATCATATGACATCCATATGCAAGTTAGCTAGTAAGACTTTGGGTTTTGTGATGAGGACTGCAGCTGACTTTGATGATATAAGGGTGGCTAAAACTTTGTACAATGCGTATGTTCGTAGTAAGCTAGAGTATGCATCTGTGGTCTGGAATCCTTACGAGAAAAAGTATACTCTCTTGTTAGAGAGGATACAACGTAAATTTGCTCGTTGGCTTTATAAGAAAATTCATGGGTACTACCCTTATTTGTATCCTTCTTTATTCGTCTTGGGTATGGTTGATTTTGAAACCCTAATGTTTAGGAGGGTGATGTCAACTATTAGGCACTATCTTTCTATAATTCACTACAAGTTGGATTGCCAGTCGGTTATGGAGAGAATCGGTTTGTTGGTGCCCAGGTACCTGCATAGAGGTAATGGAGGAACGGTGGCTCCGCGCCGTAGGGCGCGTCTTCTAGATAGACCAGTTACGCGTACCAAACGTGCTGCTTTTGCACCAACAAATCGTGCATTAATACTTATAGGGGACATACTCACTCAGCACGATGAAATTGACCTATTTGCAGACAGTATAACACGTCTGCTGACTCTTTTTTATAAAATCATTGATGATATGACAATTAATAATTGGACAATTTAATTTCGTTGACTATGTACTATTTATACTTTATATTTAAGATGTAATTTTAATTATGGGCATATTAAGATTGTTATTAGTTTTTATTGACATTGCATTATAAATTGATATGACAAAATGTTTAATTATTAATACTTTATGGTTTTAATTGGCTTTATTACCATTTTAATTTCTGACACGGGCTGCCAAAAGCTTCGAGATTTTATATTACTATTATTTTATAATTAATTAATTTATGATTATTAATTTTTGTTGTAATGGATGGATACTATTTCTGAAAAAAATTTTTTGCATGTAAAATTTAACCTTGTGCGCGTGTTGGATTTTCTGTAAGCCACAAGTTTATGAATTAAATAAATAAATGAAATAAATAAATAAAAATTAAATAATTTTAGATGTACTTATAATAATAAATGAGAATAATATTAAAATGTTACTGTATTAGTCATAACAATTTTACCACTATTTGTTTATTTTCAGGCTGGAAAATGCCTTTGCCTAGTTCAAGAATAAACAAACTTAAGAATATTTCTAGAAGACTGTTTGAGGATTCATTAGATAATAGAGAAAAATATATAGAGCGTAATTGTTATGGTATTCAAAAACAAAGTTTACAATTGGAAAGCCTAAATTATGAGTCAAAAATACACCAGACCCCAGAAAATTATTGCGAATTATCTCATAATGAGAACAGTGTTAAATCGAATGCAAATGAAGACATTCCTAACAAAAATCTTGGATTTGACATTTCTGTCCATCAAAGTATTTTATCTAAAGATCGCCAGACAGCTGAACAGGTTGCTAATAATTTGTTACAATACTTGTCAAAAAGTTTATAAGAGTTCTAGGTAGCACTGGATTCTAATGTTTTTTACTAAGTTAAGGAAATCTGTATTGAGAATAAAACTACTAACTAACATCTTATCTAATTTACATAAGTTTCCAGATTTGTTGACTTGTACGTAGTTTTGTCCATCCCAACCCACATAATTAGTATTGTTATGGTGGGCTAATGCAATGCTATGTTTCACATTTATTTTTTATTTAATTTAAAATTATAGTTTTGTTTTCAGAATGTACTGTATGTGGATGAGAATTTACCTCCCAATAAACAGCATCGCGAGGAAAGAAGAAATTCCTTGTCATCTGCTTCCAGTCATACATCACAACGTGATTTTTCTCCTGCCTCTGACCATGATCCAACTTACATACCGTTAGAATCATCCAGCTCCAAACATCTACGGCGGTCAAACAGTTCTTCTTCAAGTTCATCGTCCTGTACTACCACATCCAGTTCCTCGTCCTCTTCCAGTTCTTCATGTGAAAATCCTAGCAGAGACAATCAATTTCCATTGTCGGCCACATTGACTGATGCACATATTTGCGAAAAAAGCAACTGCATCCAAGACTGCAGGCAAACTATTGTCACACATACGTTAGACACAAACATCAGCGTGTCAGTTTCTCGGCCAGAGCGCTCATTTAACCCCATTATAGAAAAAGGTAACAAGCTTTGTCGGCATAATTATAAAAGAGGAAACAATAAGAAAAAGATTGCACAGACTTTAAGAAATTTAGGAAAGCAGTACATGTCTTCATCTTCGAAAATTGTTGGTGAAAGAACGATGAGTAGACCATGTAATGAAAAATGTCGGCTTAAATGTGGTGAGAATATTACTGAAGAAGATCGAAAAAAATTTTTGACGCATTTTGGAATTTAGGCTCTTTAGTTCGTCAAAGAGATTTTATTGCTATGAATTTAGAAACCGTAGTTCCGAAGTATCAGTACAAAAGGCTGAATAGTAACAGGAAACCAAAGAATGCTTTTCATTTCGTGGTAAATGGCGAAAAACTTAGAGTGTGTAAGATATTTTTTTAAAATACTCTTGGTATCAATGATTGACCTATTAGAACGGTTTTGGACAAGAAAAACGAGCAAGGTATAATAGTTGATGAACAAATGGGAAAACACAATAATAAAAAAAGAATTTGTGAAGAGGCTCTCAATGAAGTACGATGTCATATTAATAGCACACCCAGGATCGAGAGCCACTATTTGCGTAAACAAACTTCTAAGGAATTTATTGACGGTGGAAAGACATTATCTGACTTATACAGGGATTATAAAGCTGAGTGTATAGAACAAAATATACCATTCGTAAAAATACACATATATAGAAAAGTTTTTAATACAGAATTTAACATTAGCTTTTTCGTACCGAAAAAAGACCAATGTGATCTATGTACAACATACAAGAATGCGGATATAAAACAAGATCTTGAAGACAAATACCAAACTCATTTAAAAGAAAAGGATGAAAGTAGATTAGAGAAGGAAAAGGATAAGAAGATAAATGAAAGCATTGTATCTTGCTACGACTTGCAGGCGGTCATGACTGTACCTAAAGGAGAAATATCAGTCTTTTATTATAAAAGTAAAATAAATTGTTTCAACTTTACTATTTCTGAACTGAGAAAAGATCACACTGAATGTTATTTTTGGTTTGAAGTAGAAGACCAAAGAGGAGTTAATGAAATAGGAACTTGCGTGCTGAAATACTTAGAAAAAATGTCTTCATTACATCCAGATTCTGATTTCATATTTTATTCAGATAATTGTTGTGGTCAACAAAAAAACCAATTCATGTTTTCTTTATATTTGTATGCATTAAAAAATCTGCTGATAAAATCCATAATCCACAAATTTCTAGTGAAAGGTTATACACAAAACGAGGGTGACGCAGTCCATTCGACTATTGAGAGAGAAATTAAAAAGCTCTTAAAATCTGGTTCAATTTATGTTCCCGACCAATATATTGCAGCAATAAAGAATGCTCGGAAAAAGGGAAACCCATACATTGTAAACGTGATGAGTCATAGAGATTTTTATGATATTAAATTACTTTCTGATAATAATCTTTTAAAGAATGCGGAAGGTGAAAAAATTAAGATAGGCGATATTAAAATTATTAAAGTTGTAAAATATCTAGATGAACACGTTAAAGTTAAAATTTTTATAAGAATTCTTACTTAGAACAGAATTTTAAAGAGATTAGACTTAAAACTAATAGGATAGCTACTCGCAGACAACAGTCATTACAAAATAGGGACCAAGATTACAATGTCAGTTATCAACTAAAACCTCTTTACAGTGCTAAACTTCCTTTGGCTGAAAGGAAGAGAAAAGACATCAAATCGTTGATTGAACAAAATCTCATTCCCAAATATTACGCATCTTCCTATTTTGATAATATTATTTAAGAATTTGGTTACGCATCTCTTCCTTTTAATAATAATTTCATTGATCTCATTAGTATCTGAATTATTAAATTGATCTCAATCATTAAGTGTAAATTTAACTCTTTTTTGATAACTTATTTTTAAGAGATTTAAGGAATAATTTTAATTTATACGAATGATGTTCAAAGACCTACTACAAAATTTTGACGAGGCTACCAATTTCAGTTATATTTAGATAGTATTGCCAATGTAAAGCTTGTCTGTCAACATTTTGCACTACCTAGGCTTCATAAAGTATTGTGATTTAACATTTAAGTCTAAAAGTATTTAATAAAAGTGCTATTTAACTGGATGTTATATTCGTAAATAAGTTAATGTTTAAGTGTTCTAAGGAAAACTTATTGTAAACGCTCTTATTTTAGTTTTTCTTTTGTTTTTGTTACTGTTATTATGTCATTAAGTTGTAAAGAAACTGAAAATTTTTAACTTATTGATTAAAGAAATAACGTCACTATAAAAGTTTTTTTGAAAAAATAGTAATTTAAAAATACATTGTGTCTAAAATAATATAACTTTACCGTTGTGCTTAATATCTTTTGTAATAAAAACCATAACATAATATAATTTAATTATTATTTCTTACATAAAACTAGTCGCAATTGTTTCGTAAATCTTTAAACGCCCCTACTGAAAAAACTATATTTTTGGATAGTGTCAGTCTTCTTATCAATGTGCGATATATCTTTCTCCCTATGAGGCAATCTATGGGGTAGGCTTAAGTTTTTTGTTCTGTTGCGGCTCTTAAATACCCATAGCTCGTATTTATTTATTTATTCTTTATTGTACATCAAAATACAGAAAACCGAGTAGAGTTCGATCTTAAGTATAATATGTACAATAGTCGGTCTTATCACTCTGAAAGTGATCTGTTCCTGACAACTTTGCGTAGAGGTCTGAAGCAAACACAAGTTCAAATAGAGGGGGATAGACAAAAAAATATAAAAATACATATAAATATAGCTAAGTCCAAATGATATATAATAACATAAAAAATTTATTAAATGAAAAGAGTACAAAAAAGGAAACGTAATTTATCTTATAGCGAATCAATAGACCACCATACTAACAAAGATAAGCTGGCAGTGACTGCATTTTCGGCATTAATTTAAGCTTTGTGCCAAATTCTGTTCTTCTCTCTATCTATGTATGAATGAATTATAACAAACACTTTATAATTAATCCAAGTGCATCTTAATGATATATTGAATAAATAAAATAAGCAGTTAAGAATGTAACCAGCAAATGTTAAGTTTAATATATCTACAAATAAGAATGAACTGTAAGCCCTCTTATCTCATTATTGATGTTGTCCAAATCGTGCTTCTATAGTACTCGGAAACTTCGAGAATTTCTTGTTAAAAAGTTGGAGTTGAAATCTTTTATCCCTTTTATCGACGAACAGTTTCAATATTATATAAAATAACTTATGTTTGTATTTCTACTCTCGTCCACTAAATTGCTAAACCAAACCAAAGATTTCTTTCTAGACTTAATAATTTTAACCAGTGTTTTTAACTTTATACATATATTTAGATTTCTATAGAATAAGGGTGACAAACAAGCATACATACGCACGCACGCACGCACGCACGCACGCACGCACGCACGCACGCACGCACGCACGCACGCACGCACGCACGCACGCACGCGCGCACGCACGCACGCACGCACGCACGCACGCACGCACGCACGCACGCACGCACGCACGCACGCACGCACGCACGCACGCACGCACGCACGCACGCACGCACGCACGCACGCACGCACGCACGCACGCACGCACGCACGCGCGCACGCACGCACGCACGCACGCACGCACTCACGCACGCACGCACGCACGCACGGCCGCACGCACGCACGCACGCACGCACGCACGCACGCACGGACGCACGCACGCACGCACGCACGCACGCACGCACGCACGCAAGCACGTACGCACGCACGCACGCACGCACGCACGCACGCACGCACGCACGCACGCACGCACGCACGCACGCACGCACGCTCGCTCGCACGCACGCACGCACGCACGCACGCACGCACGCACGCACGCACGCACGCACGCACGCACGCACGCACGCACGCACGCACGCACGCACGCACGCACGCACGCACGCACGCACGCACGCACGCACGCACGCACGCACGCACGCACGCACGCACGCACGCACGCACACACATACTCTTTCCTCGTTCATTCTTTTTACATGAACAAACCATCGAAGCATTCCTTTCTTAAGGACCGCATTTCTACAGCATTTATTCTACTCTCATGCTTCTTCTGCCAGACCCAACTTTCACTACCTTACATTAAAGTAGGGACTAACACAGCATAATGCATTGCCATAAGTGCCTAATTTGACATATTCTGACTCCTCATAATAGCATGTACAGCCCCATTCACTCTATTTCCTGCGTTCACTCGTCATTCTATATCCTTATCATATCTACCATCCCTGCTAAATAAACATCCCAAATATACAAACTTATCCACTTGCTCAATCAACTCCCCTTCTATTCTTATTTCACATAACGTTTTACTTTCTTCTCTTTCAAAAACCATCACTTTCGTCTTACTTGCCTCACTTTCGTTCAATGACCAGTTCATTAAAGTAACCATCATTTACAACTCGGCCACCGACGATGCAAATATGACTTGATCATCGGCGTACAAAATGCATTTGACGGTTAACTCACCCATTCTCAACCCACATTCTTCAACTTTCAAAGTTTGCAAACAACTGTCCATAAATAGGTTAAAGAGCAACGGGGAAGCCACACATCCCTGTCTGACACCTTTATGTATGCTAAACCAGTCCGAGTAGACCCCGTTGATCCTGACACAAGCACTAGAGTCCCCATAAAGAGACCTTAATGCCTGTATCAAGCCAGCGCTCAACCCAAATGAGTTCAGTGTTTGCCATAACACATACCTGTCCACTCTGTCATAAGCCTTTTCCAAGTCCATGAACACACAAAAAACTTTCTGGTTTTTGGTCAAAACTTCTCCGCAATCATGCGCATGGAAAAGACTTGATCCGTACACCCCATCCTCTTTCTAAATCCAGCTTGCACATCCCAAATTTTTCATCAGTTTCTTCCATAACTCTTTCAATCAACACCTTAGCATACAGTTTACCCACAATGCTAAGCAAGCTGATACCACGGTACTTTTTACAGTCCTGCTGCGAGTCCTATCCTTTATATATTGGGACTATATCGGCTTTGCACCAGTCTTCCGGTAACCGCTTCAGTTCCCAACATAAATTAAACAAGGTGTACAGCAGGCCTGCAACCACACCCTCTCCAGCCCTTAGCATTTCGAGTGATACTCTATCATATCCGGCTGTCTTACCTGCTTTCATGCTTTTCATTGCTTTCATTATTTCATCTACACTTATCTCCCTACTTCTCTCCACTT